TCGCTGTTACTGAGACATGGTTGTCATGTATTCATCCGCTTATAAAAATGTGGTTAATGACATTTACTGTCCAAACAGGAAAAGTTGTGCCGAGCAGCTACCTAATCCACAGAAGGGTTAATGCTAAGCAGCAAGTATGGAAATGAAACCTGGTAACTGACTTTGGGGTCAAAGGCCGGTTACAGCCTATCAGATCTAGAGGAGGGGTATTTAGGCCCAGTTCTCATCCTGCTCAGTGCCCTGTCGTGGTTTCCCTTGTGGTTGTCCGAGAGCGCGTTCCTGTTTATAGTTTTCTACCTGGTTTTTGACTTTGGCTTTCCTCATCGCTGCGTCCCTTTCTGTGTTCCCTGACCTTGGCTAGTATTTTTGACTATTCTATGTACATTAAAAATGGCCATTCTAAGGACCGGTAATATGTTACTTATTTGCCATCCGTGCTATACAGTTCTATGTGCTGGATCAAACAGTAATCCTGACATTACGACATGGCCATAGATCCTGTAGAACTGTGTCAGAGGAAATTAGAGGAGAATGATCACCGCATGGATCAATTCGCTCAGGCTTTCAGTACGTTTCTCGCTAGAACGGCGCATCTGCAGCATGCAGCGTCTCCTCCTATAGCACCTCTACCCTGTGTACCTCCACCCACTGTTAATAGGACTCCTAGCATCTCCTTATCTCCATCCCTACAGTTTGATGGCAATATCCAGGAATGCAGGGGTTTTCTTAATCAGGTGGAGTACCATTTTGAGGCATCACCAGGGTCGTTCCCCACGGACAGAGCAAAAAATTGGTTATCTAATGAATCAATTAAAGGGCAAGGCCCTTGCCTGGGCTAATCCGTTGTGGGAGAGTAATCAGAGCATTGCTCATAATAACCAGGAATTCCTTGCCGAATTCATGCTCACGTTTGAGCCATTGGGTAGAGAGGATGACGCCTCCACTGCCCTAATGCACATCAGACAAGGTAACCGGTCTATCTCGGATTATGCTATTGAATTCCATACCTTAGCTTCCGAGGTAGACTGGACTAACAATGGGTTAATCTCAGCATTCAAAAAGGGTCTCTCAGAGACTATACTAGATGAGATAGCCGCTAAAGAATTACCTAAGAGTCTTAACGAATTTATTACGTTTGTCATGCATATTGATAATAGGTTAAGACTCAGAGAAGTCACCAGAAGCAAGACCAGATGTACAGCTATGTCCCTAGCACCTCGATTCTCTAAACCTGTTTTGTCTAACCTCCCTGTACAGTCCGAACCCGAACCTATGCAGTTATGATCTCTATTGGGGCCTCCTATAGGGAAGAGATGACGATTCAGGTTATTACTTCTCCATCATGTTCTATCATATTAGGGTTTACGTGGCTGAGTAAGCACAATCCCTATATTGACTGGGCTAATGGGGAGATATTAGAATGGGGTAAAGAGTGTATGGGGAGATGTATAAAACCAGTACTAAAGAGATTGGATACTACTGACCTTCCCACTACCACTCCCCAAACTCCTGGAGTTCCCATACAATACCGAGAACGTCAGGAGGTGTTTAACAAGGCTCAATCCGTTGTATTGCCTCCCCACAGAGCATATGACTGTGCCATTAACCTGTTTCCAGGTGCTATGCCACCTAAGGGGGCAGTTTATGCCTTATCTCCACCAGAGAGTAAAATAATGGAGGAATACATCAAAGAATCCTTGAGCAAAGGGCACATAAGAAAGTCATCCTCACCAGCTGGTGCAGGATTCTTTTTTGTTGAGAAAAAGGGTGGTGAGTTACGTCCTTGCATAGACTACAGGGCACTTAATAAAATCACTGTAAAAAATGCATACCCTATCCCACTCATTTCCGAATTGTTCGATACACTTCAGGGAGCTAAAGTATTTACTAAGCTTGACCTTAGGAGCGCTTACAATTTGGTTAGAATTAAAGAGAATCATGAGTGGAAGACGGCATTTAATACCCGCAGTCGACACTATGAATATCTGGTAATGCCATTTGGTTTATGCAACGCCCTGGCCATATTCCAAGACTTTATAAATTATGTACTCAGGGAATTCATTTACTCATTTGTCTTGGTTTATTTGGACGATATTTTGGTGTATTCCCCTGATCTTCAAACTCCCCACTCCCATGTGAAACAGGTTCTGCAGACGTTGTTGAAACATAAACTTTATTGTAAATTAGAAAAGTGCATATTTGACCAGCCTAAAGTCCACTTTTTGGGTTACAACATCTGTACTACACTGGCCATTACCCTCTGGTTTAAAAGTCATTCAAAGGTTTATTGGTTTTGCCAACTATTACAGAAGATTCATCTGTAATAGCCCCCATCACTAATACGACTCGCAAAGGGGTTAGTAGCACGGTATGGTCCAAAGAGGCTGTGAATGCTTTTGAGACTCTTAAACAAAGATTTGCCTCTGTGGACATACTAAAACATCCCAACACCAGTAAACCTTTTATATTGGAGGTTGATGCATCTGAGACAGGGGTAGGGGCTGTTCTCTCTCAGAGAGAAAGCCAGGGAACACCATTGCATCCTTGTGGTTACTTCTCTTGTGGCTACTTCTCCTGCTGAGCGCAACTACGATATTGACAATAGGGAACTGTTGGCCATTATTCTTGCCCTCAAGGAATGGCGACATCTTTTGGAGGGTTCCAAAGACCCCCTGTTGATCATAACCGACCACAAAAAGCTGGCATATATAGGGGATGCCAAACGTTTGTCTTCCAGACAGACTAGATGGTCACTGTTCCTTTCACGTTTTAACTTCCTTATTACTTTAGACCTGGTTCTAAAAATACCAAGGCTGATGCCTTGTCCAGGCAATTTGATAATGAGTCACCTCCGGAACAGATGAAATCTCCTATTATTCCACCAGAGTGTATTATTGCTACTACTGTGCTCTCACTGTCCTCTCCACTGCTTGGCACCATACTGGAGGCACATCCTCAAGCGCCCAGTGGTAAACCGTGTGATAAACTGTTCGTTCCCCTATGTGAAGGGGTTAATATCATGAAAGTGTTCCATGACAATATAACTGCTGGACACCCGGGCATCAATAAGTCAACTGCCACGATCACTAGATCATTTTGGTGGGATTCACTCAGGAAAGATGTTAAGGAGTATGTGCAGGCATGTTCTGTGTGTGCAGTTTCTAAGGTGACTCATGCACTTCCTTGTGGCAGTAACTGTTTTTTAATAATAGAACAGTGACTGAGTCACACCATACAAAAACAAAAGTTTTAGACTTTAAAAAAACAGACTTTTCTAAAATTAGAATATGTGTAAAGGAGTCATTATCAAATTGGAGCAATTTAAATGGAGTCCAAGAGAAATGGGATTATTTAAAAGTTGCACTGCTGAAGGCAACAGAAAATTGCATTAGGCTTGTCAGTAAAAGCAAAAAATTCAAGAAACCACTATGGTACTCCGCAGATGTGACCAAAATAGTAAAAAACTAAAAGTTAGCATTTAGTAATTATAAAAAAAAAAAAAACAGAGTGAGGAAGACAGAATGCTCTATAAGATTAGGCAGAAAGAGGCTAAGCATAAGAGCTTCCAAATCACACACAGAAGAGAAAATAGCACAGTCAGTAAAAAAAGGGGACAAAACATGTTTTAGATACATAAATTAGAAAAGGAAAGTAAAACAAGAATTAGTTCGATTAAAAACAAAATAATTATTTATTTTTTAATATTTTTGTTCAGTATTTACTGATGAAAATGACGGAAAGGGACCTCAGTTAGGAAAAAGGACAAATGAGCCATTTATTACATGTGAGTTTACAGAGGAAGAGGTTTTATTTCAACTGTCAAAGGTAAAGACAAATAAGTTAATGGGACCGGATGGAATACAACCAAAGTTATTAAAAGAGCTTAGTGGTGTACTAGCAAAAACCATTAACACATTTATTTCACCAATCATTGTTAACAGGAGTAGTCCCAGAAGATGGGAAGTTAGCGAATGTTGTGCCCATTCAGAAGAAAGATAGAGGAGTAGGCCAGTAAGCATTACTTCAGTAGTGGGGAAAGTAATGGAAACCATGTTAAAGATTAGGATTGTTGAACATCTAAAAACACATGGATTTCAAGATCAGAGACAACATGGGTTTACTTCAGGGAGGTCATGCCAAACTAATCTTATTGATTTTTTTAATTGGGTAGCTAAAATAATAGATCAGGGTGGTTCCGTAGACATTGCTTATCTAGATTTCAGTAAGGCTTTTGACACTGTTGCACATAGAAGGGCTATAAATAAACTGCAATCTTTAAGTTTGGAGTCCAATATTGTTGAATGGGTAAGGCAGTGGCTGAGTGACAGGCAACAGAGGGTTGTAGTCAATGGAGTATATTTGAAGCTTGGGCTTGTCACCAGTGGGGTACCTCAGGGATCTGTACTTGTACCCATTCTCTTTAATATTTTTATTAGTGATATTGCAAAAGGACTTGATGGTAAGGTATGTCTTTTTGCTGATGATACTAAGATATGTAACAGGGTTGATGTTCCAGGAGGGATAAGCCAAATGGTAAATGATTTAGGTAAACTAGAAAAATGGTCAGAGTTGTGGCAACTGACATATAATGTGGATAAGTGCAAGATAATAAAAAACCCAAGGGCAGAGTACAGAATATTTGATAGAGTCCTAACCTCAACATCTGAGAAAAAAGGGATTTAGGGGTGATTATTTATGATGATTTAAAGGTAGGCAGACAACATAATAGAGCAGCAGGAAATGCTAGCAGAATGCTTGGTTGTACAGGGAGAGGTATTAGCAGTAGAAAGAGGGAAGTGCTCATGCAATTGTACAGAACACTGGTGAGACCTCACTTGGAGTATTGTATGCAGTACTGGAGACCGTATCTTCAGAAGGATATTGATACTTTAGAGAGAGTTCAGAGAAGGGCTACTAAACCGGTTCATGGAATGCAGGATAAAAATTACCAGGAAAGGTTAAAGGATCTTAACATGTATAGCTTGTAGGAAAAACGAGATGGGGGGATATGATAGAAACATTTAAATACATAAAGGGAATCAACACAATAAAGGAGGAGACCATATTTAAAAGAAGAAAAACTACCACAACAAGAGGACATAGACTTAAATTAGAGGGGCAAAGGTTTAAAAAAAAATATCAGGAAGTATTACTTTACTGAGAGGGTAGTGGATGCATGGAATAGCCTTCCAGCTGAAGTGGTAGAGGTTAACACAGTAAAGGAGTTTAAGCTTGTGTGGGATAGGCATAAGACTTTCCTAACTATAAGATAAGGCCACGGACTAATGAAAGTATTTAGAAAATTGGGCAGACTAGATGGGCCAAATGGTTCTTATCTGCCGTCACATTCTATGTTTCTATGTTTCTATGAGTGGCTTGCAGGCCTGCAGTAGCCATGACCTTGGTGGCAAAAGCCCTTATGAAATGGTTATACCTTTTTGAGGAAGACATTGAGAAGGGAGTAGGTAGACCTACCCTGCTACAATCTTTGTCCAAGCTCAAATGGGCAGCTGAATTTTTATCCTTAACCTCTCTGGACTTGGTCAGAACTCTTTCCAGAAATATGGCTTTATCAGTGGCAGCGCGCAGAGCATTATGGCTGAAATCCTGGAATGCTGATTTATTCTCTAAGAACAGCTTATGTGGTATCCCATTTCAGGGACATTTATTGTTTGCAAACAACTGGAGGAAGCCATTAAACGTGCTGCAGAAGGCAAGAAGGTGTTACTTCCTCAGTATAGAAAGGGTAAGAAGGTCTCCCAGAACTGGTGAGACAGAAGATCCTTTCATGACAGACCTTCCTTATGAGATTCAAGGTCATATAAACCAGGAAGAGAATTTTCTAGAGGATCAGCTTCTAGTAGGAGAAATGAGAGCCTTATAGTTAAAAGAGACGAGGCAATAAGGACATTGGAAGAGTTTGGATGGATTATCAACTACCGAAAAAGTCAGCTGTCTCCTACACAGAGTATATGCTTTTTGGGAGCATAGTTCGACACAAGCAATGGTTTTTCTTTCAAAAGAAAGAAGAAATTATATCGTATCAAGGGTCCAGAAGGTGATCGAAAGTAGTTTCAGCAGAAGTATTCATGAGCATGCTGGGCAATTTTTCCTCAATCATTGGCCTCGTAAAGTGGGCTCAGTGGCACTTTTGCTATCCCCAGATGTATTTTTTGAAAAGATTCAGCCAGAACAGAGACAAGTGGGCCAAAAGGATTCTTATTTCAGACAAGCTTCGGAGGAGCTTGAATTGGTGGCAGGACCCTGCAAATCTCTGCAAAGGTTTTCCTCTGGCGGAAGTAGAATGGGTAACCTTGACGACAGGCGCCAGTGGTTTAGGTTGGGGTGCTCATCTTCTGCAATGGAATACCCAAGGCAAATGAGAAAACAGAGCCTCTCACATTCCAACCAACCTTCTAGAACTACATCCCAAGAAGTGCTTTCAGAAATATGCTGTGTCTTCTTTGCTTCAGATACTTGGTAAATGTGAATCTCACATAAAAAACAAAGTGCAAAAAATATGGATTGAATGACTGTTTGAGTGAAGAGTAAAAAAAGCATTTATTACTTACATCAAAGTAAATAAAAGCAGGTAAATCAGACTGATTTACCTGCTTTTATTTACTTTGATGTAAGTAATAAATTTACCTGCTTTTATTTACTTTGATGTAAGTAATAAATACTTTTTTTACTCTAATTTATTTTAATTCTATATATTCTTCTAGAACTACAAGCAGTTTTCTTGGGTCTGGTTCACTTTCAAAGCATCAATGGGGAAATGGGTGAAGATTCGCATGGACAATCTAACGGCGGTATCTTACATAAACAGACAAGGTGGTACCAGAAGCAAGGATCTTCTTCAGGAATTAGAACCCATTATGTTGTGGGCTCAGAAGATGGTATTGGGTCTGTCTGCAATTTACATTCCAGGACCAAAAAACACGAGAGTAGACTTCCTCAGCAGGAATTATCTAGATTCCAAAGAATGGCAGTTGAATCCCAAGATCTTCCAACAACTAATTTTGCCTTGGGGAACTCCGGTGGTGGATCTTATGGCAAGAGCTTCAAACTCCCAACTTCCGGCATTCTTCTCCAGGATGTTTCATCCCAATGCATTGGCCACAGATGCCCTGTCCAACAATTGGCCCTTCAAGCTAGCCTATATCTTTCCCCCATTTCCTCTTGTATGGAAGACCTTGAAGAGGATCAAGATGGAGAGGTATCTTGGTGTTGGCAATAATTCCGTTCTGGCCTCGCATGCCATGGTTCCCTCTCCTCAGGTCTCTGTCAATTGCCCAACCATGAAAGTTATCGGACATTCTGAACCTCCAAATTCAGGGTCCAGCAGTTCATCCATCTCTGAAGACACTCCATTTAATGGCATGGAAACTGAAAGGAGGAGTCTAGCTAACAGGGGTTTTTCTCAAGCAGTGATCGACACTCTTTTGCAGTCAAGGAGAAGATCAACTTCCTCTACTTATTATCATATATGGACGGTGTTTGCTGACTGGGCTAAAAATAAAAATGTCTCTTGTCTTTCTCCTACGGTCCCCAACATCTTGGATTTTCTGCAGACTGGTCTGGATAGAGGGCTAAGCCTAAGTTCCCTATGGGTGCAAGTTTTAGCCTTATCTGCTTGTTACAAGAACCCTCCAAACTGTTATAGAAGTAACCCCTTTTTGTTCATCCAATACTCTGTTCGGTATCCAGACTGTATGAACCCATTCCACGAATGGTTACATCTACGCATTTGTGTATATGAACGACGGACCCCCCCTGCCCTTGGTGTGTGCCGCCACTTAACTACGGTCACCTTTGAAAGTACCGAACAACCGACCACCCTACGAGCGGAGCGTGCCTCTAATTAACCACCAAATTAGCTGCGGTCTGCGGTTAACCACAGCCTAATTGACGGTTGCAGGGCATCCACGTTCGTGTACATTTCCCCAAACTGAAAACTACAGAAAGACTCATGAACGAGGACCACCTACATCCTGGCGTGTGGCCTCAATTAGAATGTTGATTTTGCTGTTAACTGGAGGTTAAGTAGCCCCTTCCAGGCGGTCTCCATTCGTTTCCCGAATGGCTGGGACAACCATAATGAGAGCGGGGGTTCGTGCAAAAATGTAGTTGACACTCGCTCCATGAGTTTTAGGTCGAGGTCCCGCTGTCCATTGACCGACCTTAAAACATGGCCGCCATCCCGAGTTTGGGAAAAAGCAACAAATGAGACATTGTATGACAGAAACCACCTGTTCTGTTCGTAGGATCTGAGTGCAATTCGTATACCTGATGCGCTTAGATCTGAGCTACAGAATGAATAGTTGAACGAGCTGTATTCTCATCAAAATGTTGAAGTTATATATTTTTATGCTGTTATGACAAAATAAAGCATGGCATTTAGGGGGCTTGAAGATAACTAAATTGTATAGAAACATAGAAACATAGAATGTGACGGCAGATAAGAACCATTCGGCCCATCTAGTCATTATCTCCAAGCTGGGCGGGTACTATTTTGAATGATACAGTGTAATGTGATTGGTCGAATCCTTGTGTTGTATCTGTGTTCCATCAGGTCCAGAGTGGGCTGTCCCTGGACCTGGGGACTTGCATAAATTGCCATGCCTGTGTGCCATTAAAGCCAGTTCGTTTTACCCTCAACTCGCTGCCTCGACTCATGTTGTAGGGAACCGGGAATACAAGCTTTACTATAGCTAGTGGGATATTCTACACTTACAGGTTTCTACCGTTTGAAGCAGTGTTCGACTCTCCAACTTCGGGAACCAGGACATCCAAGTGATCCAACCTCCTGCTAGACCGGAGTCAATCGTAACACTCTTACCAGTTCCCGGTATACTTTGGATAACATGGTGGTCCGGTTTCTAACAGCAGCTAAGAAGGCAAAGCCTTTTATTAGGTCCCTGCTCCCTCCCTGGAACCTTCCTTTAGTTTTAAAGGCGTTGTCTCTTCCTCCTTTTCAACCTCTAACAGATTCCACAGATCGTCTGATTACTTTTAAAGTTCTCCTTCTTGTTGCAATTACGTCAAGCAGGAGGATTTCTGAAATTCAGGCTTTATCTATGGAAGAATCCTGTATGGTGTTCTACCCGGATCGTAATCCTATGAACAATTCTGGAATTCCGTCCTAAAGTGATATCTGGGTTTCATTTTAATGAGGAAATAGCTCTTCCATCCTTTTTTCAGTGTCCAGCGAATCCAGAGGAAGAGAGATGGCATTCCTTAGATGTCTCTAGGGGTCCTTCTATCTATCTGGATAAGACGGCTAGTTGGAGAAAATAGTCTAGGCTCTTCCTGAACTTTGCTGGGAATCGTTTGCTGCATTCAAACCTACTTTAAGCCGTTGGATAATTGCAGCCATTTCTTCTGAATATCAGGCCCAGGAGGCGCAGGTTCCTACAGGATTAAGGGCCCATTCTACGAGGTCTCTATCTACATCATGGGCAGCTGCATCTAACACGCCAACTGAGAGCAGCTACATGGGCCTCGTTGAACACCTTTACAAAGCATTATGCCTTGGATGTAAGATCTCGGAAAGCTACGGAGTTTGGAAGGAATGTTCTTTCCTTGGTTTCTTGAACCTCTATGACAATAAAGTATCTTTTCTAGAACATTATTCTTTTGTCTTTGGTTTTGATTTCCCTTCCCTAAGTTGAGCTTAGGTATTACCCCATCTTGATGTTGCCATGGAATTAGCCAAGAATTCTGAAAATTTCTTTATACTTACTGTAATTTTCTTTTCCTGGATATATCCATGGCAGCATCCCTTCCAATTTTTAGATCCTTCGAGCGTGTTACAAGACTGATTGTACCAAGTAAGGAGGTTCTATTTGTAAAGTACTTCCTGCCCTAAACAGCCAAGGTGGAGGAGCTAACTCTAACGTGATGCTGCCATGGATATATCCAGATAAAGAAAATTACGGTAAGTATGAAGAAACCTTCAGAATTTTTATTTACCTTTTAATAGCAATCATTACTCAAAAACAAATACTTAAAAACAAACAAAAACATATTTGGTAGTGAAGTGCTTCATTCCTTAACCAAAGATATGAAAAGGGGAAAAGCTTAAACACAAAGTGCTATAAGTCATAGGATAACACAACAGGTAGTAAAAGTAAAAAAAGTAAAAATAACAGAATTAGTTTTGCAATAAAAAAAGTCAGTCATTAAGTGAAAAGTGTATGTTCATATTAATGCACATTTTGTAAGGCATTTTGTTAATTAGGATGTCACATTAGGAAGTGGAAATGGTGTGCTAAACTGTAATTGTCTGTCAACCTGAATAGTGAATAGGTGGCTGCAGGAGGTAGCTAATAGCCAGCTGTAAAATTACCATAATCATTTTATTTGTTTGCTTTGATGAAAGGACTGCTAGCTAAGCTGTGCCTTTTGACATCTTACAATTACATGAGCTTTGGCCAAAAAAAAATTCTAATATATAATGTGGTTATTAAAACGGCATCCTCTAGACTTTGCGTTTCACACTGGGCTGTGTGATAAAAGCTTCTTTTTATGTCTTTACAATGTTCAACATTAATACTAAAGTTTTCTTTTATAGCTGAAATGACAGAGCTAGGTCATGTTTAACATTTAACATTTTCTAGATTTATCCTATTTCTGTTGGAGTTTTATCTTATTTATTTCAGATTTGATGGACACTTTTTTTAACGGCCACCCTCACCATAATCACCCGCTTCAGACTGCTTTGTTATATCAGCATTCCCTAGTTAATAGTATTTTCTAATCCTTACTCTTTAAAGCTACAGTGCAACTTTGAAAAAAACAAACAAACAATACTATTAGTTCCAACATTGCAGATGTTAAAGGTTTCTGCGGGATATTTTTGTTTATCATGTTTTTGCACAGATTTACTTATTGATTTGTCTTTTTACCACTTGAATCCCATGGACAAGTTAAATACAAACATTCTATATTCTTGTGCGTAGGTAGAGGGCAACTGTGTATAGGCATAAAACCTTGCATGGACGTAGGAATGTGGTTCAAATAAGAATAATGGACCCTACCCCAAATACCCCCCAATAACGACAGACACCAAATTTGGATGAAAGAGACCGCAGCATTTATTAAACACTGTAGGACTCATCCAACATGTATTAATTTTATCATTTAAATATAACCAGAGATAAATACATAAATAATCCATAACTTAACATATAAGTTATGTAGTAGTACCCTACAGACTTTAGCTTACATAAACATCCTTGCCAATGAAAGAGACCACCTGTCTACGCACCAACTTGCACACTGGGTTATCGCCTCCCCACTCATCCAAACCAAATTCTATTTTCCTTTTAATGCTTACCACCAGCCGGCTTTTAGCTCAGTGGGCACGTCCAAGTCGGTAACTTAAAAGTTTACCCTACAGAGGGATGTTGAGACCCGACCTTGTCCATATCCTGACACTCAATGTAATAGCCCCCCAAAACCTATTGGCAAGGACACGCCCCCCACTAGCTGTGACATGAATAATAACAAACAGAAAAGAGGGAGGGTGGGAGGGAAGTCTTTTGCTGGCCCTTCACTCAAGAGGCACTGAGGTAAGATGATCCCTTCCCTACTCCCAAACACATAACCACTCCCATACACACTTACAACAAATCACAAGCATC